AAAACCGTTCTTTGCAGCAATTCTGTTTTATCTTCACCCATGTTTTATCAAGGATTACATTATATTTATAAAAGTCGTTGTCAGACTAGAAATAATGATGCTGCAGGTGAGACTTACCTCACTTAAAGTCTAACCATCATTCATGCATACTCTCCTCTTTTCCCTTTGAGGCCAAACAGACTGTCGCTGTCTCGCTGTCAGCAACCTCATCATTTAGAGGGCTGTGAATAATAATGAGGGATAACTGCACTGCTATGACTCATACTTTGAGCTGAGTTCGGACAGATTTCCTCCCACTACGGTGCTCATATGTGCTTGTGAAATGCCCCGTGTACTCCCGTATATGTGCATGTATATAGTAGATATTGATGACCAAATTCAATTACATGATTACATTTTCAGCCGAAGCTTTAAATGATTTATTGCATTGAATTTAAATAGTGAATACATTTACAGACAGTACACGGGCGAGGCAGTGGTGTGCGTGCGATATTGACCTGTGTGGTCCAGGCCAAATAAAGAATAACGAGATTCAGCATCTCTGCCAAGTGGAGATGTCCGCTGGGAGTGAAGGCAGGCTATCTCAGTGGAAGAGAGCGAAGGATGGCAAGCTCGAGTCAGATGCACATTTATCAAAGCTTTTCTTATAATCACTTGACTGACTTTTGTTGGGCTTTCTGAAGGTTGGGTTTTCCTTTAGAGTGCACTCTGTTAAGGAGCTGATTGATTTCATGAGGGGGGACTCGGTCTATGTTGTGGATGTCATACACGTTGAGGAAATGTGGACAAGGGTAGATTTGCACTCGCTGGCGTGGTATCGTGTTTACAACTATCATTTGTTTTGATTTAACAATATTGGCTGATTTATCAACCAGTCAGCTAAGCATTTTTTCTTAATTAATATTGTTAGAAATGCCAATACAGCTAGGGATGTTTGATCAATCGTCTTCCTCTTCTTAAGAATTTTGTGATAAAAAATCGAATCATTATTGACCACTGCATCGATCCATTCCTTTCCTTTTCCAATCCAAGTCCATTTCATTTGTCTTTCAGCTGGTTTTCCGTGCTCCTATTCCCCGAAGCTTAGGTTAGCCATTTCAAAGGCCTTATTCGCCCCATGCAAGGTCAACTATAATCAACTGTAGACAATGTCACCGCCTTGCTTTTCCAGTGAGATAGGCAGAGGAAGACGATTCCTTTGGGCTTTTAAGGACCTGCTGCATTATACCATTCAATTACTGTTCATTAGACAGTGTACAGCCATTAATCAGACTGAGATGTTCTGCAAGTCCTCAGCGGGGACAATGAACTGGGGAAATTTATTCTGGCTTCCTGTCTGGGCCGCTGTTTAGTGGTAAGGAGAGAGATGACACTTTAGAATGCACTGAAGCTTTCAGTACAGAGACAAAACTGAACTAAACTGAACTGTTACTCCACTCTCTGTGTCTGTTTTCAAGTCAAGTTCTCCGCTTCATGCAACTCTGTCTTTGAGTTTTAAGAAACATAGGCTTCGTCAGAGATTTACTGCTTATGTGGGAGAGTATTATGAATCTGGTATATCACTAAAAGGGGAGAAAGCTGACAGATTTACTGATTAGAGCTTCATATGCATTGAATATGACTAGATGATGATATGAGAAACTGATTTATGTTTTCCAGGAGGCTAAAGAGAGGGAGGTGTCTTCCAGGCTCCACAGAATACAGGCACGGATG